AGCAGATTATTATTTTTTTTTTTTATATAATTTATTGTTTAAAATTATTAGATGCTCGTGCAAAAACATGCGATCATTTCAACAGTGCTCGTGTGAAATCAGATGAGCACTGTTGAAATGCTCGCATGTTTTTGCACAAGCACAAAATTATTTTTTTTTTTTTTTATTTTTTTTTAATTGGGTAGGAATAGTACAAAAGGTAAATAGTTATGGTAAAAAGGTAAAAAATCATGGTAAAAAAATGCCTGAATGTTTAATTTGGCCTGCGTATATCATTACCCTTGTGTGAATTAAAATTCTAACCTCTAATGGTTTACTCAAATTAGTGTTTGGGCCGCTGAAATTTTATTAACCGAGTCCGAGCCCATATACAACCGATAATTCTCTTCAAGATTGCGGCGGTATCGGGGAAACTGGCCCTATATATAGTGACACACGCGAAAATTTCTCAACTCACTCAATTCTATCGTCTCATCATCGATTATTGCGTCTTCCCCTTTGAGAGCTTTGAAACCCTAGTTACTTCCATCAATTGTTGATTTACTCTTATCCGATCATAAAACTGATTTTATTCGGAGAATTTCTAATTGAAACTGCCTGCTCTACAATTGTTGATTTCGCGTGCTATTCTCTGCAATTAATCGGTCGATTCCGGCGAAATATTCGATATTTGAAGTTAGGGTTCCTTCGGACATTCGTCGAGAGATTTGCGGTAGAGATTCCATCCGGTCGAGGAGGCGTTGCTCTGGCGAATAGATTCGAGTCGAGTATTAGTGGTGTACTTCTCCGATCTGCGTAATTTCTGGTTGTTTGGTTGAATTTGATCGGAATCCAGATATTCGTTTGTCTCTGTGGAAGTTGGAAGAATTTCTCTGAATTTGAATGTTCTTCGAGCCCTTGGAGGATTAGAAGACAATTAGTGGCTTTGATTATTTTTTGTTAGGAAAAAAAATTAAAAAAAAAAAAAGAAAGAAAGAAATAATTTCTTGACTTTCTATTGTACTGTTATTGATTTCCTCTCGAATTGTTTTAATCGAAGATCACTATTCCAGGCCTTTCATTTTGTATTACTATTTGAAAGATATGTATATGGCTGTTTATTATATATTTGAAAGTTCAAATGATTATGAATCAGTTGCCCTCGACAGCCACTCGATACAGGTGGGACACTTGAAAGAAAGAATAATCGAGTTAAAGAATTTGGGCAACGGTACTGATTTTGACCTCGTCGTAACCAACGTCCAGACTGGTGAAGGTTTGTTTTCATTCCTTGCCATATATAATCATTTAAACAAATGATGGTTCGGTGATCTTTTATCCCAATTTCTTTTTTATGTGCTTAAGACTCGATTATTTTACTGGCTTTTGGTTAATATGAATTGCTGGTAATTGTAATTGAAGAGTTTCTATATGTATGTTCATGTTGACAATACTTGGTAGTTTTGCTAATCTTTATTTTAATAAAGAAAGGTTGATGGTAGCAAGTTAATCAAAGTCAATTCTTCAGACTCTTGACTTTTGATGGTTGCAGTTTTGATATCAATGTTTTTGGACTGAGTTACGTTTTTTGAGAAAGCTGACTATTGTCAATTGTAAATTAATTGCTTAGTATTTTTTTTTATATAATTTATTTCATATGCATTAATTTGTGCCTTTGGAAGTGTAGGTTACACGAATGTCTGCACATCTGTAGTCTGTACAAATCTCATGTTATTCGTTTAGTTTTTGCGAGATGTAAATTTCCAATAATATATTGTTACATTCGAGAAGGAATTGATAAAAATGTATTATAAACTGTTACTTAAAATGGGTTGTGGAATGGATGATTTATAACCTTTCTTTAATCGCTTTTCTTAAATCTGCTGTGTTCTGATCGGAATTTTCAGGGTGTAGCTATACTAAATGTTTCAGCTTGTAACTACGGTCCTAAGTCTGAGAATTATCAGTTTTGTTAAGGTTTAATTTTTACTGTAGAGAAATGCTTTCCCTCCTGGTTTATAGGACAATTTAGTTGATACTGATAATAATTTTGGGTTGATGATGCAATAACAACAGGGTATTGGGATATGTCGTAAAGTTGTGTTAACTGTAGTTGTGCTCTTTCGTTGCCTTCGTATAATGGTTACGTGGAGTTTATACTCTTCTCATTGTTTTGTTATTTCAGAGTACCTTGATGAAGGAATATTAATTCCCAACAATACTTCAGTTTTAATACGCCGAGTTCCTAGACGTCCTCGCAGGCCCATAGTTACTGCACCCGTCATTGAACTTGAAGAGTATTTTCTTGATCCTTTTATACTTTGTTTATTTAGTGTATTGTAAAATAAAAAATAAAATTCTGTAATGATTATTCGGAAATATATTGCTTTCAAATGTTGAACATGGTCGAGCTCGATTTTAATATTTTCTCAACTACATATGTTGTCTTTGCTTTGCCCGTCGCATATTTGTTGAAATCCCACTAACGTTATTTTTTTCCGTAGTCAACCTTCTGATGCTCTTGGCTCTGGTATAGATTTCAGATGGGGTATGGTTGGACGTGGTTTTGGTAATCCCTCTTGACTAATTTTATATGAATTCCGTTTTCTCAAGCGTTCGATTAAGTTGTTAATTGTCAGCTGCAGGATTATAAATTTCCCCATAATTTATGCTTTTAGTAATTGCTGCAGGTCATTGATTTTGTTGAGGCTTTTATGTGTTCCTGTATCCTGTGACCGATTTAAAAACTAAATTGCTGGATTTGCAGGTCGAGGTGGATTTGACAGGGAAACTCCACCACGAGGGTACATATGTCACAGGTGCAAGGTGCCTGGTATGTTTCGTTTCCTCGGCAATTTTTGTCTACTATTCAGATTATATATATCAGTGTGTGTCATCTGGAAACAACTTACTAGTGAATGTCGGAATTGTTTTGCTTAGGGCATGTTATTCGGCACTGCCCAACAAATGGTGATCCCAATTTTGACATAAGAAGAGTCAGATCTCCAAGTGGAGCTGTTGCACTTTTGAATCCCAATGAGTAAGTTATTACGAAAATCCAATTTATTCTTATTTTTTTGAAATGGTAGACGTTGTCTTCTTCATTTGCCATTTGTATATACGTAAGGTCTAAAAGGTTATATTATTTGTTTGTACATAGGGAATTGTCTGTGCCAAGGAGAATGACGGACAACATGCTTTTCACTCGCTTTTCGGCTTTCAGAATTGATTGAATAAAGGAATGAAGACGGAGATTATTACCTAGTTATTAGGGCCAAGAGGCAATGGTTTTGAGAGGAGTAGCCTTTTATTGCGATAAAACGGATAGGATTGAAGGCGATTCCGATTATTAAGATTGGAAAAACGGTATTTTAGCTACATGTTCAAGAATCGTTTTCTTTTTTAGTTTGTTCACTTTTTTTCCGTTTTGCTTAATGTTGAATTCTTATGTTTTCAATCACATACACATTTTGGTGTTTAAACTCTGATGAGCTTAATTAGTCTAGTAATAACATACTCACTTGCTTAGTGAAATGGTTCGCTAATCACAGGGGTGTGTGTGTGTGTGTGTGTGTGATATATCAATACCCCATAGCCCATAGGCCATAGATAAATTAATAAATTTCTTCTGTTCCGGATTCGGTAAAAAAACAACTCATCAAGATAATACAAAACTTTATTTAAATAATGTATCTATGTTTGACTAAATCAAATAAGAAATTTATTTATTTAATTTTTGTCTCATTTAAAAATTAAAACCCTAGATCTTAACCAAACTTTTTGGTAAAGAAGATATGTAGCAAGCAACTCTTCTAATAATATCTTAATTGAAGAAACAAGTGGACATAACCCTTGCCGGAGGGCGTAAGTTTGTTGGACAAAAGCTTCAAATCATCGTCACATGCTATTAAGATCTTGTCACCCTCTTCATCAACATATTTCAGATTTACACTTCTATCCTTCAACTTCAGTCTCTTAGAAATTTCTTCGAGAAGCTTGTCGTATCCCGTACATATACAAAACGGAAATTTCATCAACTCTACCCCGTAATTATGCTTGTATTCCACCTTCATCATCATCATCATCGTATTCCCCGGAAAGTGTCTGCACGCACTCCGAACTGCATCACACACACACACACACACACGTAAATTTGGTTTCTTACTACATATATCATCAACACGAATTTCTCCTTCCTAAAAAGTTGATTATTATCATTTAAATATAAATTTGATTTTCTCATTACTATTCTATCCAAACGAATTTTCTCATTCCTAATTAAAAAGGTATTTATCATGATAGCATTTTTTTTACCGGAAAAAATAGCTCGCGAAACGCGTTCTGGCGAAACATTAATTTATCATATAACTGAATTTTCAAGACTCACTCACCGCCCTGCTCTTGTTTGACATCTTTGAGCCTGTTCTCCGACATCTTTTGTTTTAGTTTCTCCGGCCAAGTTTTATGCTTTTGCCAGAAGGCGCGTGGAAATTTTCGGCTAAAGGGTTTGCAAGGATTAGGGTTTTGCTGGGATGTAGTATATATATATATATATATATATATATATATATATATATATATATATATATATATATATATATATATATATATATATATATATATATATATATATATATATATATATATATATATATATATATATATATATATATATATATATACACAGATACATATAGAGATATAAAGA